GTTTTCACACCTCTATGTCTCACTGTCCTTCAATGTTTTCACACCTCTATGTCTCACTGTCCTTCAATACTTTCACACCTCTATGTCTCTCTGTCCTTCAATACTTTCACACCTCTATGTCTCTCTGTCCTTCAATACTTTCACACCTCTATGTCTCTCTGTCCTTCAATCCTTTCACAGCTCAATCTCTGTCCTTCAATCACACACCTCTATGTATGTCTCTCCCTGTCCTTCATGTCTATGTCTCTGTCCTCAATCCTTCAATACTTTTCACACCTCTATGTATGTCTTTCTGTCCTTCAATACTTTCACACGTCTATGTATGTCTTTCTGTCCTTCAATACTTTCACACCTCTATGTCTTTCTGTCCTTCAATACTTTCACACCTCTATGTATGTCTTTCTGTCCTTCAATACTTTCACACCTCTATGTCCTTCAATTTACTGTCCTTCAATCCTTCAATCACACCTCTATGTCTTTCTGTCTTCAATACTGTCCTTCAATACTTTCACACCTCTATGTCTCTCTGTCCTTCAATACTTTCACACCTCTATGTATGTCTCTCTGTCCTTCAATACTTTCACACCTCTATGTCTTTCTGTCCTTCAATACTTTCACACCTCTATGTCTTTCTGTCCTTCAATACTTTCACACCTCTATGTCTCTCTGTCCTTCAATACTTTCACACCTCTATGTCTCTCTGTCCTTCAATACTTTCACACATGTCTTTCTGTCCTTCAATACTTTCACACCTCTATGTCTCTCTGTCTTTCACACCTCTATGTCTCTCTGTCCTTCAATACTTTCACACCTCTATGTCTCTCTGTCCTTCAATACTTTCACACCTCTATGTCTCTCTGTCCTTCAATACTTTCACACCTCTATGTCTCTCTGTCCTTCAATACTTTCACACCTCTATGTCTTTCTGTCCTTCAATACTTTCACACCTCTATGTCTCTCTGTCCTTCAATACTTTCACACCTCTATGTCTCTCTGTCCTTCAATACTTTCACACCTCTATGTCTGTCCTTCAATACTTTTCACACCTCTATGTCTCTCTGTCCTTCAATACTTTCACAATACTTTCACACCTCTATGTCTCTCTGTCCTTCAATACTTTCACACCTCTATGTCTCTCTCTGTCCTTCAATACTTTCACACCTCTATGTCTCTCTGTCTTCAATACTTTCACACCTCTATGTCTCTCTCTGTCCTTCAATACTTTCACACCTCTATGTCTCTCTGTCCTTCAATGTATGTCTCACTGTCCTTCAATGTCTATGTCTCTGTCCTTCAATACTTTCACACCTCTATCTCTCTGTCTTCTCTGTCCTTCAATACTTTCTTTGTCCTTCAATCCTCTCACCTCTGTCTCTTGTCCTTCAATCCTTTCAATACTTTCACACCTCTACACCTTTATGTATGTCTCTCTGTCCTTCAATACTTTCACACCTCTATGTCTCTCTGTCCTTCAATACTTTCACACCTCTATGTCTCTCTGTCCTTCAATACTTTCACACCTCTATGTCTCTCTGTCCTTCAATACTTTCACACCTCTATGTCTCTCTGTCCTTCAATACTTTCACACCTCTATGTCTCTCTGTCCTTCAATACTTTCACACCTTTATGTATGTCTCTCTGTCCTTCAATACTTTCACACCTCTATGTCTCTCTGTCCTTCAATACTTTCACACCTCTATGTCTCTCTGTCCTTCAATACTTTCACACCTCTATGTCTTTCTGTCCTTCAATACTTTCACACCTCTATGTCTCTCTGTCCTTCAATCCTTTCACACCTCTATGTCTCTCTGTCCTTCAATCCTTTCACACCTCTATGTCTCTCTGTCCTTCAATCCTTTCACACCTCTATGTCTCTCTGTCCTTCAATCCTTTCACACCTCTATGTCTCTCTGTCCTTCAATCCTTTCACAACTTTATGTATGTCTCTCTGTCCTTCAATCCTTTCACAACTTTATGTATGTCTCTCTGTCCTTCAATCCTTTCACAACTTTATGTATGTCTCTTTGTCCTCATCACTTTACTCACTTCACTCTGTGTCCTCATCCTCATATATTCACCTATTCTCATCGCCTAACTCACCTCTGTGTGTGGCCACGTCTCTCACTCCCCTCTGTTTCTTCATCTACTTTTTTTCCATTCTCTGACCTGATCTCCTAACCCACACCCTCCTCTTTGTCTTCACCTCCTCATTCACCTATTCCTCTCTGTCCTCACCTCCTCACTCACCTTCTCCCTCCCTCTCTGTATCCACAGATCATGTACAAGGCAGTCGTCGTCCTTCTCCTGGTAGCCACTTTGTCCATGACTGCTGAAGCTTTCATTGGTGGCTATGGGATTGGTTTCCCTGGATACGGCCTTGGCATCGGTAAATATGGATTTGGTGGATATGGACTCGGCGGCATGGGATTCGGCTATGGTGGGCTCGCATACGGACTTGCTGGCTATGGATATCCTCTGGGTGGTATTGGATATGGTCTGGGTGCAGTCGGCTATGGTGGAATTTACGGTAAGCAAGAATCATTTTGTTTACAATAGTTCGCTAGCTAAGCTAGTCGATCAGAAGCTGGTGTAGTAGTCAGCCTGTCATAGATGCTGGCTAAGTAAAGAGGATCGAGAAACACACAGCTTCAAGAAGACGGACTGGGTTAGTACTTATCAGAATCCAGTGGTGAATCCTACTGTGCACAGATTCTAGACTCCATCCAGATGTCTTTGGGTACAAGATCTGTAGATGTGGGTACAAGATCTGTAGATGTGGGTACAAGATATGTAGATGTGGGTACAAGATATGTAGATGTGGGTACAAGATTTGTAAATGTGGGTACAAGATCTGCAGATGTGGGTACAAGATCTGTAGATGTGGGTACAAGATCTGTAGATGTGGGTACAAGATCTGTAGATGTGGGTACAAGAAATGTAGATGTGGGTACAAGATCTGTAGATGTGGGTACAAGAACTGTAGATGTGGGTACAAGATCTATAGATTTGGGTACAAATCGTGGCTTTAAAAATGGCGTGAACTTGTCTAGGATTCCCAGTACCTATGTACATGTATCACACTAGGTATAACTTCAGTGATCGACCTGGCAACGATGACATTATAAAGCAAGTCCGCGCAGAACCAATCCTCAACCTTTGTGGTAGACAACAGATGTAGCTAGTTTTTCGTCCGGGTTGTTAAAAACCTATATCTGCATGCTGTCCGCCCACTTGTATCGCTGTCTTCATCTTTCTAGTTTACATTTAGACAATCCCATCCCTAAAATGGTTTTTAACAGACCGTTGATGTGGCCGAAATATTTAACTTGTACTTTTTTTTTTAACAATATCACAACATCTGTATTGAACTGTTTTTGTTTCCATGAAATACGACACAGTCTTCTACTTTCCTGTTTGTTGTCCAAGTTTCTGCACCATACAGCAGACTTGCTTATACATAACACTTGATTCTATCTTCTAACTTTTTGTTGGTTGTCCAAGTTTCTGCACCATACAGCAGGCTTGCTTATACATAACTCTTGATTCTATCTTCTAACTTTTTGTTGGTTGTCCAAGTTTCTGCACCATACAGCAGGCTTGCTTATACATAACACTTGATTCTATCTTCTAACTTTTTGTTGGTTGTCCAAGTTTCTGCACCATACAGCAGGCTTGCTTATACATAACTCTTGATTCTATCTTCTAACTTTTTGTTGGTTGTCCAAGTTTCTGCACCATACAGCAGGCTTGCTTATACATAACACTTGATTCTATCTTCTAACTTCTTGTTGGTTGTCCAAGTTTATGCACCATACAGCAGGCTTGCTTATACATAACTCTTGATTCTATCTTCTACTTTCCTGATGGTTGTCCAAGTTTCTGCACCATACAGCAGGCTTGCTTATACTGCAGTGAACATGTGGTTTCCCATGGTCTTTGGCGACCCCTGTGAAAGGGCCGTACGTCTCCCACAGGGGTCGCGACCCACAGGTTGAGAACCCCTGCCCTAGAACTATTTCTTGATTCTTATCTCTGTATCTCTCCATCTCACTTCTGCCATCATCTCTGTATCTCTCCATCTCACTTCTGCCATCATCTCTGTATCTCTCCATCTCACTTCTGCCATCATCTCTGTATCTCTCCATATCACTTCTGCCATCATCTCTGTATCTCTCCATCTCACTTCTGCCATCATCTCTGTATCTCTCTATCTCACTTCTGCCATCATCTCTGTATCTCTCAATCTCACTTCTGCCATCATCTCTATATCTCTCCATCTCACTTCTGCCATCATCTCTGTATCTCTCTATCTCACTTCTGCCATCATCTCTGTATCTCTTCATCTCACTCTCTGCCATCTCACTTCTGTCATCTCTTCATCTCACTTCTGCCATCATCTCTGTATCTCTCCATCTCACTTCTGCCATCATCTCTGTATCTCTCCATCTCACTTCTGCCATCATCTCTGTATCTCTCCATCTCACTTCTGCCATCATCTCTGTATCTCTCTATCTCACTTCTGCCATCATCTCTGTATCTCTCCATCTCACTTCTGCCATCATCTCTGTATCTCTCCATCTCACTTCTGCCATCATCTCTGTATCTCTCTATCTCACTTCTGCCATCATCTCTGTATCTCTCCATCTCACTTCTGCCATCATCTGTTATTACTCAGCAGTAATTTGTTATTTGTTCTAGCGTCTCTCCATGGTTACTATGAGGTACACATTTGGTACAGGGCTGACCGCTTAAGGCTATCTAGGGCATGGCAAATTTCTTTTGTAAGATCGGCTTTTTTTTTTATTCTTGGCAATTTTTCTTGCTTGAAATTTTGTCTAGGTAACAGGAATTTTTGCTAAGAACCATTTCTCGGTTCCCCAGTTAGTTTGCCTTATCAGGTATGTGCTGTATTCTGTACTGATGTTGATATGTACATTACTGCTGCCCATTATGCTCAACATTAAAGCCCTGTTGCATGTGATCGTCCCCAGGTAAAGGACTCTACTACTAGACCTCATCAGGGACCCATGGAAGCATCGAGAAACTTCCTTTACAGGTTGTGCTGATGTCGTGCCGGAGTCACCTCCCTTGGTACCAGTATGACCTGGACAAGGACGCCATCTTGTTTTGATAATTAAATGAAATGACTATAAACTTCTTTAGATTGTTCTTTTTGTCTTGTTCTATGTGTTATGTGTGTTCTAGGCTTTATCTCTGAAAATGTGTATATTATGTCTTTATTTATGTGTGTTGTCAGCGTTATCTTTGGAGATGTGTGAAGTGTGTCTATCTATATGGGTTGTCACCTATCTAGGATCCACAGTGAATAACAAACTATCGTTGGACCAAGAAATTAACGTCAGGATTAGTAAGGCAGCTACAAAATTGAGCAGATTAACAAAAAGGTTTGGGGAGAACAGAAAGCTCACGATTAAAACAAAAACTCTTGCCTATCAGGCTTGTGTTCTCAGCACTCTGCTTTATGGCAGTGAAACTTGGTCAACTTCACACCGGGAGAAACGGCTAAAACGTTTTCACATGCGATGTCTAAAATACACGGAGGGGACATGACAAGATCACATAACACTGGGGTACTGGAAAGTGCAAGGTAATACAACAGTTTTTTCAATATCAGTCTCCGCAGAGTCCGGTGACTGGGTCACACAAGAAAACGGAAGATGGTCTCTATGGTCATCCTTTAAGGCTAGAAGATGTCGAGAACGACCTCTAATACGATATACAGATGTCTGTAAGTGGGACACGAAAGATACAGTTACTGAGGTGGGAACAAAATGACATGGCTCATTTTGTGTGGAGGGGAAACATCAGGAAAGAAATGAGAATGAAGGAAGAAATGACTGCAGAAAGGATGAGAGCTCGGCGTCTGAGAAGAAACAGACTAAATACAAATGTTGACGACAACGGTCTTGAAATCCTATGCTATAAATTGGGGAAGAATATGTTAGGATAATTGTATGTGACAGCAACTGTCATTTGTGATTCCAGTGACTCTATGTTACGGCAAACTATCATCTGTAATTTGGGTGACTGTATGTGACGACAAACTATCATCTGTGATTCGGGTGACTCTATGTGACGGCAAACTATCATCTGTGATTAGGGCGACTCTATGTGACGACAAACTATCATCTGTGATTAGAGTGACGACAAACTATCATCCTGTAGGTTAATCGGCACGGTACATGATGGTGATGTCTAAGGCGTGTCTTTAACCTGCTCAATGAAGCCAGGCCATTGCAACATTTGCGAAATGAAAAGCGACTGCTGCCTCATTCACTGCTTCTGGTGTCGAGAAAGACATAAGGCTCTACTTCTTGCTCTTCTGGCCGCCTGGACCAAAGACACATCGTGGAGCTGTAGAGTTTCTCTGATGTTATCTTTCTATCTTGTTCTCTGTCTACATTGTTCTCCTCATCCATCTTCTCTGTTGGTGAATGCCCTGTATGAGGTGGCTATACAAGGCGTTCTCTCTAAGTGTGCACAACATTAGATTGCCTTTGTATGTCAAGTCTGAAAAGCAGACTATGTAGAAAAACTGGAAGTCATACAGACCAACCAAATACAGAAGGCACTTACGAGGTGAATAAAACTCAGATCGAGGTGCAGGTCAGAATCCTATAGAAGACGTCTCAACCAGGACACAACACTCAAGACCCATACCAACATCCTGACACGTCAGAAACACAACACTAGATTGAGAACTGCATACTGGAGACCACAGACTCTGCAGCCATGTGTACACATATTCAAGATGATAAATTAATACATACAATCTAGTATCTAAGTAAGGTGGCAGGATACACACACCCAATTCTCTCCCCAAGACTCGCTTCATCGCTTTTCTAGATCGGGACGTGTATTATATTCAGACTAAGGACTGGGCACAAAAGACTTCGTCAACATATGTTCAAACTTTTCGGTTTAGGAAATATGGAGACGTGTCCCTGTAGCGTGGCACCCGAAAATGCTGAGCATGTGCTCCAACACTGTCAACTGTATGCTGACAACAGAGACGCAATCTGGCTTGTTCCAACCACACTGAAGACAAAACTGTATGGTACACGAGAGGATATGGATTGCACGATAGCTTTCATAAAGGCTACCGGCCTCCTGATATAAGTTTTCTGACAGAAGGATCGAAGAAGAAGAAGAAAAAGAAGAAGAAGAAGAAGAAGAAGAAGAAGAAGAAGAAGAAGAAGAAGAAGAAGAAGAAGAAGAAGAAGAAGAAGAAGAAGAAGAAGAAGAAGAAGAAGAAGAAGAAGAAGAGAAACCTATGTATGACAGTAGCACCAGACAGCAGTAGAGAAACCTATGTATGGCAGTAGCACCAAACAGCAGTAGAGAAACCTATGTATGGCAGTAGCACCAGACAGCAGTAGAGAAACCTATGTATGACAGAAGCACCAGACAACAGTAGAGAAACCTATGTATGACAGTAGCACCAGTCAGCAATAGAGAAACCTATGTATGACAGTAGCA